CTTGTCGCTTGTTTACGTCCGATACTTAAGCTAAGACTACTTAACGTAAAGTATTACGATCCTAGCACGAATCGATCGACTCGACTGAGGTTGCCCACGCTCTCACAGAATACCAGCATAGGGGTGACAACGCATCAGCGTTTTGAATCTTAATCGAGGATAGGCGTAGAGATGTCTATGGGCCTCAGCATCCACTTACCATCAGGTGGACTCGTTCGTCACCCTTATTCTATAAAAAAGACAAGAATTATTCCACTTCCTGCGTGTTGATAGCAGCCAGAAGCACGCCGTGAATGCTATAATTATCATTCATATTTCCAACACTTCTTCATCTTCATCATCAGCCCGTAAAAGTCCATAGATAGACATGGGCCTATCTCATTGTAGGGAAAATGTTGCCTTAATCACCACATTTGACAGGATTTCCTTTATAGAGGTTAACAAATGAATACACTGCCCACCTGATGGTAAGTGAATACTATGCTCCATAGACATTTACATCTCTTCTCGGTTAAGAATAAAAAGGCCGATGCATTGTCACCCCTAAGGAGAAAGATGGAATGCCGGGTTTCCAGTAAAAAAGTCTTGCGTTCTCTACACTCACTTTACGAAACGCAGCAGCATTGAGCTGTTATTTTACGTTGGTATTCCGTGAAAACGAGGCCCCGGTCGAGACAACCCATTCATGCTACAACCTATAACCATAATATTATACAAATACAAATAAAAAAAAAAAAAAACAAAAAAGAAAAAACCATATTATAATGTAATACAAAACATAATAGAATTATAAAGGTTTACCTAAATTTTTACACTTATCATGGTGCACGGTTATTTTACTACTGGCATTAACGATTTGGTTACACCGCCATTTATCGGATTAAAATCTTCTTTGTATATCCCATAGTTAACATCTTTTTATCGACTCTTACTACACTGACGTAACGAAGTGGGTATAACACTTCTATTGTTCTAAACAATAAACTTTGTTAATTTTGTCTTGTCTAAATTTTCTTCAGTCTATCATTTTTTACACTTCGCCGTTTTTATGGGCTATAAACAAAGGATTGCTAGTAAAATGCCATTGTTGCAAGCACGTGCCTCGGTGTCGCGTGTCGCGAGGCTTATTTGCGGCAGTGTAAGTGATTAGAGAAGTGGACTCGGCACTGCTATTAAATTTCTTAAAGTATAAGTAAAGTTACTCGAATTTCTGAAAAGGTTTTAGGGCAAGGACATGTCCGTCGCGCCGCCCCAATGTGTGTTAGCGAACTTCACATGTGTTCAATTTTTTTTTATTTTTCAGACAATTTGGTTTCCTCATGTTATGTCTTTCTCTGCCGCCTAGCAAGTGGTAAATCAGCAGCAAAATTGCGTGTTTTCAAATAATATTCTAATAGTATATATTCGTTTGTATTGCAATATAATGTGAACAGTATCCGAAAAATCCGTGAAGCTTTATAGATTTTGCATGCCGTAAGTGCTAAGCGCGTCGGTATGTTCTACTAGGGCCTAAAAATTAAGATTCCAACGTTTTGTCGCATGAAATCGTATCTAGCAATCATATTGTACATATAAGTGATATAAATAGCACATTTTCAGAAAGATAAATGATTGTTGAACTATTAATTTTATTTTTTAACTGAAGTGACAAACGAACTTACAGTTCAACGACACTTACAACAGACTTTAAACACAAAAGCCTACAGATGCGTTGTTACCTCTGATGATTGAGATGTAATGCCCCATAACCTGTAATTATGCTGACTCTCTATATTATTCAGACTGGAACAATAAAGTGCACACACTGCTGTTTGGCGACCGAAATAGTTAAGAGCTTCGTACCCAAACGGACTGCTGGACAGAAAAAGTTATCCCTATGTTACCTAGAGCCGATCCACCTGGTCGGCTTGGTCAGCTGTGTCGCCTGTGCGACTGCGACATTTAATCAATTGAAGGACACAGTTAAATTTACATAACTTATTGAAACTTTGATTGCATTCGTATTTGCCTTAAGTTCATTATGTCGCTGCTCAGAGCTTATAGCAACGCCATGCTATCTATGCTGGTCCTACCATCCAGTATAATTTTATTTTAACTTATAACTTATTTTATGTATATTTTATTATAACTTATTTTCGTATACCAGCAAAGCACGGTATTATAGAACGTATGTAAATACAGCAAGAACACAAGAGACTAAAAATTAGAATGACTCACATTTTTTTCCTTCTGCACACTGCTACACTCTGTTCTGCAATAAAGCTGCTGCAGTGGTGGCAGTTTAAAAGCATCATTCACCATATGTTTTCATGAGAGGCGTCTATGGGATATCCCCGAAAGATATTGTGATTCCTGATAAATGACGGTATTATCATCTCGTTTACACCAGACGTAAAATATCCAGACCGTCGACGAGGAGCAGAGTCAATGGTGCAGATGTCTGGTACTAAATAGTCAATGCGCCTGCTGCGCACTCCCTATAGCGGGTGAAGTCCATGTTCAGCTGTGGTATTTTGCGGGCTGATGATGATGAGGAAGAAGATATTAATATTAAATATAATAGTCTTAGTCTGCTATGATCTTAGAGGAAGTAATGTATGAGAGGTACATTTGTTGCAATAACAACAACAAAAAAAAACGTCGATGAAATATATCTTGTTTACTAGGGCTTCATCTACGTACTCGTGACCAAACCATACAAGCCCTTTACACGTGTACAGTTGGACACATAAAAGTATTATTATTTTAGAAAGCTGTAACAAATTCTTCAGGAGAAATTAAAAGAAAAATAAAAAAAAATATTTTGTAAAGGGAAAACATCGAATATCTTTATCTAAATGTCATAAATGCTACAGACGAAGTTTTGACCCTTAAATCAAAAATACATAAAGCATAAGGAAACTTCTTCATCCGTCCGCAAGGAATTAACAGTATATTGCTGGATATTACAATCTATCATATAGCAGGAGGGTTTATCGGCCCAGTTCTGGAGACATCTATACTGATGGCTCCATGGCCCATTAGCTCAGCAATAAGCACTGAGAACCACACGGAACAAGTATTTGTCTAGCTTACAAATAATTGTTCCGGGTCAGGATGTTTGCCCTTGTGCAATTTATGTATGTAATCTATTTCCACGATATAGGAGAACATCCTAGTGTGAGGGTAACTTTTTCTAAAAAGAAAAAAAGAGGTAAAACTTTAACACCTGTGACAGTGTGGTTGTAGATGTTCAAATAAAACTTTGATAGTGTTATTCTCTAATATATAATTGGCAGAGTTTCTGCTAAAGCAAATACGTAAGTTACAATGATCTCAGTCGGAGTTCTGCTTTTGTTTTTATACCCGCATTATGCGGCTTACAATTATTCATAAACGGAAATAGTTTAAAATCACCTACATTGTTTATTACATCCGGAATCTTATTTATAATGTAATTACAAACTTAAATATTAATCAAATAATTATGCATTTATTTAATCAAGTAATGTTTAATAATAAGAAGTTTAATTATGGCTGAGGGCGGGAAACATTTGCTAACATTCGGCCATCCTGCGACGGCCGTGTCCCACGGCGATCAGACAGCATCTTGGTTTCGGTTCCATGAAATGCCTGGAAAATTCAAAAAAAAAATGAACAATAAAAGTTAAAATATGAGAAGTAAAGCAGTTGTCTTATAAATTCTGAAGGTATGTTTTATAAAATATTTTTTTTTGCTTTGTTCACGTAACTGGAGTGTGTTACGAAAGGAACTTTAGTACGTGGTCACAAAGACTGGTCACACAGACTGGTCACAAAGACTGGTCACAAAGACTGGTCACAAAGACTGGTCACAAAGACTGGTCACAAAGACTGGTCACAAAGACTGGTCACACAGACTGGTCACACAGACTGGTCACACAGACTGGTCACACAGACTAGTGTCGGTCATACAGAAGAATCGGTCACACAGACGGATCGGTCACACAGACGGATCGGTCACACAGACGGATCGGTCACACAGACGGATCGGTCACACAGACGGATCGGTCACACAGACGGATCGGTCACACAGACGGATCGGTCACACAGACGGATCGGTCACACAGACGGATCGGTCACACAGACGGATCGGTCACACAGACGGATCGGTCACACAGACGGATCGGTCACACAGACGGATCGGTCACACAGACGGATCGGTCACACAGACAATTTTGAGTAGACCCGGTTGACCTCTTAGGTAATTGAGTATTAATAACATTTTTGATGTTATCTAGTTACATAAAGGATATTAATTAATTAATTACAATTATTCCTTGTGTGATCAATGAATGCTTGCCAAGGTATTGTCACGCAGAACTTTGCGATGTTTTTGTCACCTACATTCTTACCTAATATAATTTCTCCTACTTGCGATTGGTATTGTAATAAACGATATGCTATTATGGATAGAGCAATCTATCTTCACATGGTTAATAATCCCATTGTTTATGTTTCAGATGGATGTGGCTATTTCAAAATGGATATTTCTACACAGCGATGTTGAAGTAAATGTATAATGATATTACAAGATATATTTCAAATGTTTCAACCTTCTTAATAATCCTAAGGATTCATTTTAATAATTTACTAATTTAAGAGTTTGTAATAATATAAAAATAAATAAATATTTATACAATAAATTTGAGTTGGTAATTATCCAATTACCTGTTATTTAAATGTTCTAAACTCCTTATTAATACGGAACTTCTTATTACTACAGGATTCGTTTAATAAATTACTAATTTATATTTCTATCATAATATATTTGATTTTTATTTACAAGCAATGAGATTAGTAACAATTTAATTCTAGAAAGTTAAATACAATACTCTCGAGCTTAATTTATTGATTTCTACGAAATAGAGACGAGCAAAACTTCTGAATATTTAATTAAATACATAACGAAAATAAGGAGTTATAATTCTACAACTTGTAAGATACATTTGTAACTATAAGTATAAACATTTTTGTTTTAGTCAACCCTCTAGCAGATCGATAAGATCATCCCTATCTACTTCCCCATCAGTAGATGAACTATCTGCATCAGATATAATAGACTTATATGGTCTCAATACTTCTCCTCGCACAACCGCACTAAATTTTCTATAACCTTTCATTCCCTTTACACTACATATTGTATAACGATCTATTGTCTGCTCTGCCTTACATACTCTGTAAGGTCCTGTATAAAGGCTTTTTAACTTTTGGCAAACTTTCGCAGATGTGTCGATACTAGTGCCCCCTTTCCACAAAACTAATTGTCCTACTGAATATTTATTACATGTCTTACGGGATTTGTCAAATCTCTTTTTCATGAGGGTCATATTTTTATCTATATTTAGTTTTGCACTTTTCCTCCTGTCCTGTAGTGCTTGCTGTTGTATAGCGAAATCTTTTGGATCTCCCTTAGGGTAAGCTGGTAAACGGGAATTTTCGTGCCCGAATAAGAGTTTGAATGGAGGGAAAGAAGTGGTAGAATTGGGTGTATTATTTATGCCCCATAGAACATCCGATAGATTTTCATCCCATGTATTTTCGCTCTCCGACATAGTGTTTAGGCCATCTATGATTGTGCGATTTACTCGTTCCACTTGTCCGTTTGACCTCGGGCTAGCTATGGCGTTTAACACGTGTTTAAATTGTGTTTCCTCTGCAAATTGTTTAAAATAACGACTGGTGAAAGCCTTTCCTCTATCTGTAATGATTCTATTGGGATACCCGAACATTGTAATTATCTCCTTTAAGTGTTTAATCGTCTCTACCGAACTACAGTTTCGGAGAGCTTTTGCGAATACGAATTTCGTAAAAGAGTCTATTACGACTAGTACATACGTATTACCATTTCTAGTTTTCACGAAGGGTCCTAAGTGGTCGGCGTGTAGAGTGTGCATAGGCACTGAAACTTTCTCGATAGGATATAGTTCCCCTTGTTTCTTACCATATTCGGACTTGCCATATGCGCACTGTAGGCACGACTTAATGTATTTTCTTATAAATCGAGTCATCCCGATGAACCAAAACTGAGCTTTTATGGTTTTTTCGCATCTCTCAAAGCCAGGGTGTCCTATTTGGTCATGATATTTCTGCAGTAGGCCATATTTTGCCAGTTTTGGTATAACAAAACGTTCTCCATGTAACGTTTTTCTGAACAGGGCGTTATCTTTAATAACATAATTATTATTTACGTCTGGGTTAGTGGTCTGTTCTCGTAACTGAGTAATTATATGCTGAATATTGTCGTCCTGCAATTGTAGCGTTACTAACCAATCTGACTCGTCAATTTGGAAAATATGTTCCGTCAGGGGGTTCCTACTCAAGGCATCCACGTGCTTCATTCGTTCTCCCGGTCTGTATACTATTTCCAAGTCATAATCCTGGATGGTGAGCCACCAGCGAGCTATCCGAGGAATGAGATCCTTTTTAACCAATGTAGTGCGTAAAGCGGCACAATCTGTAATTACTTTCACAGGTATCCCTACTAAATAAATTCGAAACCGTTTCAGCGACTCTACTACTGCGAGGGTCTCAAGTTCATAACTGTGATAGAATTGTTCTTCTTTAGATGTTACTCTACTGAAATATGCTATTGGTTTTATTGAGCCATCGGGCTGCTGCTGCATGAGTATGCCACCTAATCCTAACTTGCTCGCGTCAGTGTGTAGTTCGGTAACTGCTTTGCTGTCATAAATGCCAAGAACTGGCCTCTCAATTAATCGAAGTTTCAGACACTGAAACGCATTTTCCTGTTCTGGACCCCAATGCCAATCCATGTTCTTCTTCGTCAGTTTTGTTAAGGGAAGGGCAATCTCAGCAAATCCACGGATGAATTTTCTAAAGTAGGAGGTAAGTCCAATAAACTGTCTGATCTCATGAACGTTTTTGGGTCGTCGATATTCAGAGACACATTTGATTTTGGCTTGACCAGGTCGGATTGTTCCTGCAGATATCTCATGACCCAAGTAATTGACACTTGCTTTCAGGAAAGAACATTTTTTTAGATTTAATTTTAGACCAGCTTTTTGCAAAAGGCCTAGAACACGATCCAATAATTGTATACCGGCTTCTACAGTTACAGTAGGTAGCATTATGTCGTCAAGATATATGGCAACCTCGTTTCTAACGTCTTTTAAGGCAATGCTTATTAGTCGAGAGAACACAGCAGGAGCATTGGCCAAACCGAAAGGTACCTTTAGGAATTCGTAATGTCCGGAGGGCGTAACAAAGGCAGTTTTATGTGTCGAATCATCGGCAAGCCTCACTTGATAATATCCTTGAGCCAAGTCAAGTGTTGTGAAGTAAAATTTACCCGCCAATTTTGAGATTTGATCGTCAATATGTGGTAAGGGAAACCGATCTTTTATAGTGTGAGAGTTTAAAGCCCTATAATCGACGCAAAGCCTATAGTCACCGCCTTTCTTTTTCACCAATATAACTGGACTTGCATATTCGGATGTTGATTCGCGTATTATGCCGGCTTCAATCAAGTCTTGCACCTTACTATTAACGATTTCGTTTTCTTTGTGTGATAGTCTATATGGCTTAAAGTAAACTGGTTTTTCAGTAGTTGTCCGTATATGCATTTCCACGAGATCTGTGCACCCCAAATCTCTCGTATCCCTAGCAAAAATATAACGGTATTTATTTAATAGTTTTAGGAGTTCATCCTGGTCCCTCTTTTCTAGATCTCCTACGTCAATTTCACCCTTATTTGGAAGGTTACCGTAACCATCAGGAAGACAAGAAAAATCAGTATTGAGTACGTCCTGCACATTAGTAGGGGGTAGGGTCACTAGTTCAGCCCGCGCTATTAATTTACGAGCAGGGAAGGAAACTGGTATATTACTCATATTTATAAATTTCAAACACCCTTCGATGCAGATAATTCCTCCAGGTATTGCATAACATAATTTTCCTAATTGCATATAGACAGAATTCGTCAGGAAGTACAAATTGTCGTTGGGTTCAATATTCACCGTCACGTCAATTAGACTGACACTTTGTGCTGGTAAAGTGACATCACATTTTAGGTACACATTGAATTTACAATTGTAGTCTAGATTTTCCAATTTAACGCACTTTAGGCAATCATCAACTGCTAAAGTTTCTACAAATTTTGCAGAGCTAGAAGTAGTTACCAGACTTACCCCCGGTTGATTAATCATAGGTTGCCCAATAATTAAATCTATATCGGATAGCTCGTAATTAGTTATTTCAACGTACCCACTAAGACATATTTTGTCTATATGCACAGTTATTTGCGACCTCCCCAACGATTGTATGCAAGTTCCTCCAAATCCTCGCATTACCGTGGTCGATGCCGCTATTGGTAATTTCAACAATGTCGCTTTATTTTGTGTTAAAATATTTAATTTACTACCCGTATCTATGTAGACAACCAGTTTTTCTGTGCCGATGTAGGCGTGACGCTTGTATACACTGCATAACACATCAGTAGTGGTAAACAAGATGTGACTCACCAGGGATGACGAACGTTGCTGCGTTGAACCAGGAGTCGCCACAGCCCAACAGGTAGCTGAAGTGTGACCATTGCGTTGACAGTTTTCACAGCGTTGTTTTGAACGGCAGTCCTGAGCTACATGTCCTAACCGCCGGCAGATATAGCACCGTCTCACCCCAGTCTGTTGGTCAGTTGCAGAGCTTCCATCGGTTGTACCCCTTTTCCATAATGACTTCCGCATTGGTGTAGCAGCTTCTATTCTCTTATAATTTTCAAATGATGATAAATACCCGTAGTATAATAACTGTGGCGTCCGACATTTGTACGCTTTTGCGTTTGCTTGCAGCTCCACGGGAAGACCTCGGATGATACAAGAGATTGCATTTTCTCCTACGATATTGCATTTTTTAATAAGTGATAATTTGTCGTGGAAATAATTAGTCATGGTTTCCGAATCTTTTTTTGTTCTTGCCAACATCTCTTCGAGCCTGCTGACGAAATCAGTGGACCGTGGAAAGGCCATTTCCAGGGCACGTTTCCATCCATCCCAGTCGAGGTTATAATCATCTAAGTCATCATACCAACGTCGAGCTGAACCACGCAGACGAAGTTGCATTAAAAATTGTTTCTCGGTTGCATCCCATCCATATATTTCACCAAGCTGATCGATCTTGTGCAACCAGCTGCTGACGTTACTGGTATTATCTTCAGGTCGAAATTTGGGGATGACTTCAGCGTCGACATGACTCACTCGGCGTTTTTTTTCCATAGCGGGCGCGTGGTCTTCTGAAGAAAAAAAAATTTGACTTTCTTCGTTTTCTTCATTCTTTCGGGAACGTTTTCGGCAATATTTCCGTTTATTTTCACCAAGGCCATGTATGTAGGGGCCCGACATCTTATATACCAGAACAATTTTACTTTTGTTTTTCATGAATTATATCCCACTTCTGAAATGTGACAGTGTGGTTGTAGATGTTCAAATAAAACTTTGATAGTGTTATTCTCTAATATATAATTGGCAGAGTTTCTGCTAAAGCAAATACGTAAGTTACAATGATCTCAGTCGGAGTTCTGCTTTTGTTTTTATACCCGCATTATGCGGCTTACAATTATTCATAAACGGAAATAGTTTAAAATCACCTACATTGTTTATTACATCCGGAATCTTATTTATAATGTAATTACAAACTGAAATATTAATCAAATAATTATGCATTTATTTAATCAAGTAATGTTTAATAATAAGAAGTTTAATTATGGCTGAGGGCGGGAAACATTTGCTAACACACCTTACAAACGAAGTGGAGTAATATTATTAAAAAGTCATTAATTGTGCTATACTGCTATATGACCAAGTGTAGTGTAATATAAACATTTTTATAGGATAAGGGTGACAAGCGAGCACACAGTCCACCTAATGGTAAGTGGTTGCTGTGGCCCATAATTATTTTCTTCTTTACCATCAGTTCATAAAAGTCCACGGCTGGTCATGGACGTCCCATGTTTTAGGGAGCATTTTAATTAATTTTAGACTGGCAATCGCAGTACCATGTATCTCGCATTTGGACACTGCTAACCTCGGGTGTGAGTAGTTGACGTCTGTCGCAAACAGGATGGTATGCCACCATCAACCGGAAACAGAATCAGAAATTTTTTATTCAATATGTTATGTAGATTATAAATAATACTTATTGAAAATCACTCCTATGTTTAATTACCACGGAAGCCATGACGTCTTTGTAGCACTACCCATAGTCGTATCTTAATAAACCTGGAGCAAGAAATGTGGTGCTGGATCCTCCTACGCCTCTAACACACGTCATCTATGACGATGATGACGCCTTTTAAATACTAAACAAGTAGCGCCTCCAAATAATATAGCCGCAATACTTAAAACAATATTTTTTATACTTATTATAAGCCAGTGTTTGACCACAATCCCACCTGGTGGTAAGTGGTGATGAAACCCTAGATGATAAATCGCACTGTCTTAGCGATACAAAAGCCTAGCGTCTTGCCATGAAGACGTAAAGACAGACGCCGGCAAATTATTCCACTCCTTTACTGTACGCATTACCGATAGACGAAGTCGAAACATTTGGATCGAATACGTGGCATATTGACAGCAATGAAGTGAATTCCCAACGACCACTGTGGTGAAAAGATGAGGGAGGAATTTAAGCATGTAATTCCTGCGCGCACGCAAATACTGAGACATTTAGTTTATTCAATATCATCGACCATAAGTTCCACAGGTAATAAATTTGGGTGGTTATTGCGAAAGTTTCTAATATTCTGGATGCTGGAGAGATGAACTTGTGAGTGCAGATCCAAACCCCTCGCACGAAACTCGCTTTAATAACGCCTATCCCGTTACTAGCTACGAAACAGTTTTCAGTGCTTAGAAGATTGCAATGCACTGGACGATATGAATGACAAGCTCGTGAAAACTGTCCATGCGGTCGGAGCTAAGTTTTGCAATACCCACCGCAGAAGAACACAAAAACTCTCCGATCGCACTCTTAATCTCATGGCTGTTAGACGGGATATGAAGCGGCAGTCTTCAGTAGATTTGACAGCATACAGGCAACTGAATAGACAAATCTCCAAATGCATGCGGCGGGACTTACGCAACTTTAATACTGCTCGTATTGAAGAAGCGATTGAGCGGAACCAGGGCTCCAAAGTCTTTGCTAGAGATCTGTCTGCCAGAAAGAGCCAACTGTCGAAGCTGAAGACAAAGTGTGGCAGCATCATTTCCGGAGATTCTGAGTGAGATTGAGAGGTTCTATGGGCAGCTGTACACATTAACGTTGGAGCCACACGTAAGTGTGAGTAACGATCCAAGAGCGAGTCTTATCTGACACTATTCCGATGATATCCCGGACGTCAGTCTGAGCGACATTAGAATGGCTCTCCAGCACCTTAAAAACGGCAAGGCCCCAGGCGAGGATGGAATTACAGCGGAGCTTCTGAAAGCGGGTGGAAAACCGGTACTTGAAGTCCTTCAGAAGCTCTTTAATTCGGTCCTCCATGTTGGCATTACACCGGAGGCGTGGAGCGTGCGGTGGTCTTGTTCTTCAAGAAAGGTAACAACGCTCTCTTGAAGAACTACAGACCGATTTCCCTTCTAGGCCGCGTCTACCTGCTGTTTTCGAGAGTCATTACGAATCGTCTTGCGCGCAGACTGACAATTTCCAGCCTCCTGAACAGGCCGGTTTCTGAAAAGGCTTTAGTACCATAGACCACATACATACCCTTCGGTAAATTGTACAGAAGTCCGAGGAGTACAATTTGCCACTATGTCTGGCGTATGTGGACTATGAGAAAGCCTTTGACTCGATGCTGCAGTCCCTGATGGGATTCAACGATGCCAAGTTGACTTTCGGTATACCGAAGTGCTGAAGTGTTTGTACAGTAGGGCTACGATGGCTATACGAGTACAGAACCAGAGTACGAAACCTATCCAATTGCAGAGAAGTGATAGACAGGGTGACGTTATATCCCCGAAACTCTTCACCGCTGCATTGGAAGACGTTTTCAAGCTTCTGGACTGGAAAAGATACAGTATTAACATCAATGGCGAGTACATCACTCACCTTCGATATGCCGACGATATAGTCCTTATGGCAGAATTGCTAGAGGACATAAACACTATACTCAATGACCTCAATAGTGTTTCCCAACTGATAGGTCTTAGATAGATAGAAGATGAACATGGACAAAACAAAGATCATGTTTAATGTCCATGTTACACCTATGCCGGTAGTTGTTGGGAGCACTAAGATCGAAGTTGTTGACGAGTATGTTTACCTGGGACAAATAGTCCGACTAGGTAAGTCCAACTTCGACCGAGAGGTCAATCGACGGATTCAACTCGGTTAGGCAGCGTTCGGGAAATTACGGCACATCTTCTCGTCAGGTATACCTCAAAACTAGAAAACGAGACTGTACAACCAGTGCGTGTTGCCAGTGATGACATATGGAATTGAGACGTGCTCCTTCACTGCTGGCTGGATGAGGAAGCTCAAGGTCGCTCAGCGAGCTATGTAGAGGGCTATGCTCGGAGTTTCACTGCGCGTTAAACTTAGAAATGACGATATCCGCAGTAGAACCAAAGTGACCGACATAGCCCAACGGATTAGTAAGCTGAAGTGGCAATGGGCCGGCCATATATCTCGAAGGACCGACAAACGATGGGGAAAAAAGGTTCTCGAGTGGCGGCCTCGTACCGGCGGCCGAAGTGTAGGGCGTCCCCCCACTAGATGGAGTGACGACCTGGTAAGATATGCAGGAAGTCGATGGATGCAGGTGGCTCAGGACCGTGCTTTATGGCATTCCTTGGGGGAGGCCTATGTTCAGCAGTGAACTTGTGAAGTGCTATAATGATGATGATGATGATGATCCCGTTACTAGTATATTAAAATTGGTTTAGTCGACTTCAAAAAAAGGGATGAGGTGTCGGTTCGAATGTATTAATTCTTGAACATAGGTATGTTACGCGATATCTTTATCACTTGCGAACTGATTTTGATGATTTTTTTATTAAAAAAGGTACCAAAAACCGGATTAACGGCAACTCACCTGCATTTCCCCTGGTTTGTAGTTGTTTATAGATGGCGGTCGACACTTACCATCTGGTGATCCTCATGCTCGTTTGCTCCCTCTTCTATAAAAAAATCGCTCCGCAAGTGGGTTGGCAAATGCATTGTTTTATTTTCTAGTTATTAATAGTATTAAGAAGATACTGCTGCCCATCTCCCGGTTTATTAGCCTCCGGTATCTCCTGCGACAATTACAGAACTATATGAGATAGTGAATGTTCTTTACACTTCACACGCTTATAAGTGTCGTAAAAATATAAAAACTGAATAATTTTATATTTTTTTTGTTTGAATGTACTCCAGGAATTCAAAGCTCCGCATTAGGAAGCCTCAACATTAAGTAAATCCTTTTGTTTAACGGATGTCCCGTAGGTACGTCAAAAAAATTAATTATATTAATATGCCTCAAGTATTTAAATAAATGAAACTATTTTGCGGATTTTATCGCGTTTAATTTTTAATTTTTAATTCCCGACGTTTCGGTGCTTGCACCCATGGTCAATGGGAGCTCTGAGTTGTTTGACGTCCCGATATCATATAATTAGCCCGGCTACCTTTAGTAGTAGTCCCGAAATCATGGAAAACAGCTTTTGTCCACTCGATCCTTAAAAAAGGCGATCGCTCAGACCCGTCCAACTACAGGCCTATCGCCATCACCTCCTTGTTCTCCAAAATAATTGAATCCATTATAAACTGCCAGCTCATGCGGTACCTTGAGGATCACCAGCTGATTAGTGAACGCCAATACGGTTTTCGTCGGGGTCGATCAGCTGGTGATCTCCTGGTCTACCTGCCTCATAGATGGGCGGAGTCAGTAGAGTCTAAAGGGGAGGCGTTGGCCGTTAATTTGGACATTGCGAAGGCCTTCGATCGGATTTGGCACAAGGCGTTTCTTTCGAAGCTCCCATCCTATGGGCTTCCCGACAAATTGTGCAATTGCATCACCAGCTTCCTTGCAGATCGGAGCATCAAGGTCGTGGTAGACGGTGCATGCTCCCACTACAAACCTATTAACGCTGGTGTTCCACAAGTTGGTTTTCTACGTGGTAGAGCCATGCTGCAGCTATATTATGGTTGTAGCACGAATGGGTCGGCTCGACCGGGGAAGGACCACGCTCTCACAGAATACCAGCGTAAAATAGTAGCTTAACGCTGCTGTGTTTCGTATGGTGAGTGTAGAGAACCGGAGACCCTTTTTACTGGAAACGAGGCATTCCATCTTAGTACTCATGGGTGACAACGCATCTGCATTTTGATTCTTAATCGAAGATAGATGTAGATGTCTATGGGC